ATCAGCCTCTTCCACTTTTCGTCCTTCATATACAAATCCGGAATAAGATCTTTTTTTTTACACCATCAATTTTATTGTTTTTTTAATCGTTCAAATTGATAAAAACCATAAAAACACAGAGACTTTTTTTTAGCAAAATCAAAACACGTCATTTCAATCGCGCGGCCTACTTCCCTGTGAAAGATTTCCATCCTGGGCGATTACTAGCTTTAGCCTTGACCTGTGCCCAAATAAAATTTCGGTCAACGTTCTTTTACCCTTTTGGGCTAGCGTCAGTACATTCCATGTTCCAATTCTTGTCCGTTGTTTAGCGCTAAAAGTCGTTACCTTAAAATCAGTTAGCAATCTTTCACTATAGGTTTTTGTAACAATTTGAAGGTTTCGAAGACAGTAGGTGGTTGGCCTAAGGTCTCCTATCCGCCGTGATGGGACTGCCATCTTGGGTATAGCTTTCGGGGAGAAGCATTTCGTACTCAGCTGCTGGATGCCAGTCAGACGCTGTTTGAGCCGCCCCTAAGGTTACTCGTACCCCAGCCGGCGCGCGGGAGGAAGGGATAGGAGTTGCTGGGCAAGAGGCTAAGGACCACTTTCACTTGCGTGACGGGTCCTTTTTATAACCTTAAAGTACGCGAAGTACCGGTGGTACGCATTATCCCAGTCATTTGCCAGCCAATGTCAATATTATCAACAATACATTCTGGGAGTCATCAATACAGGGTTGAGTCGTATTTTCAAAATTGACTCTGCTCAACTCCGTAATGCGGCTTTTATTCACTGCAATAGTTAACAGAATCAGTGCGTACTATGAATGATCTTGCGATACAGCTTTTACTGGACTGAAAACGAAGAAGCGGAATTTGCCTACCTGAAAGAAGAAGCCCTTGGAGCTATACAGCGTTTGGGCTACTGCAGTTCAACTGACAGGATTTAGTTGTTCGTTGATGCGTCATCGGTGGAAATTGCCCAACAAACAATGAATGTTGAATAAGAGCTTATTCAGCCAAAAACAAGCTTCTTCAGCTAAAAAATAGCTTAATCAGCTGTTGATCAACTCAAATTGTTTGTTGGGTGGGGCTGTTCTTACACAATTTAACGAAACAGGAAATCCTCGGATTATAGAATGTGCCTAAAAAACTCTTAGTGATTCCGAAAAGCGATACCCACAGACTTAGAAAGAAGCGCTAGCAGTAGTCTGGGGAGTGGAAAGGTTCAGCTACTACTTACTCGCAAGATCATTCATAGTCACTCTGATTCTGTAAACTATTGCAGTGAAGAATATTCGCAGCACGGAGTTGAGCAGAGACAATTTTGAAAATGCGACAGGTTGCTCCTCATTAACATTGTTGTAGTTTATGGAATATAGAGAGTCAAATCACAACCAGCTTAGCAAAAGTTGCCGAGGAACAGGTCCCATCTGCTGCTGTGGTCAAACAGAAGGTGGAAATGAGGGGAAATATTGAAACATGAAATCAAAAGCGAACCCCACACATATGAATATATTAATTCGAAAGTGAATTGATGATGTGAATACAGAAATATTGTCATTATTATATATAGATCAAAATAGCAGTAGAAATCAGGGGACCATGCTTATAGAACAAAGTTATGGTTACTTGAATTGAACACAAAAAAAACATCTTATGGCATCTTCTTGGGGAACTGGCATGTCGAGCTGTATTTAATTTTAGTCAGCAAATCAACGATCGATTTTCCATCTATTTTCCTGAAACTTTAGCACATGCAATCACCCTATCGATCCTCCTTGACATTGTATTCTCCTGTGGCCCTTTGAGGCCCTGCAGCCGAGTGTATTGTTACGCTAACCATTTCTTCCAACTACCATTACTGCATGCACAACCAAACCAAGGTACATCACCCGTTGCAAAAGCCTTTTGTGTTCCTATTATTATTGTATTCCAATCAGTTTCGGTACGATAAAAGGCGCCTTTTTTTCTATTCTCCACCAGCGCGCGCGCTTCTTCTCCTTACTCCGGCGTTCTGTGTTTGGAAGAAAGCTACAACAATCCTTTCTCATCCTACTCTCATCCGCCCTAATGCACATAACTACAGAGTTTGGAACTCGTCGATGGACTGGCTGACGGACTGACTGATGATGATCCGCGCGATTCCCACTCTTTCCCGATGTTTGATACATCGGGATTGATTTGATTGATGTTTATTGTTGAATCAATTATATTATATCATTATTAATTTTCTATGTATGTATTTATTAAGCCTTCCACATAATAAAATAAACGATACAAGCTAGACATAAACACAAAGCCTTTCGGCCAGCCTCCTTCCACCCCCGGAACGCACGCGGTCGCGAGTTCGTTTTGTGTTTCCTTTTAGAAGCACAAGGGTGTGAAGAGTGAAAAAAAAATCGAAATACCTTCCAAAGGGAAGCCCGGCTATCTGCAGTCGTGTGAGATTTGAACTCGAGAGGAGATCATCAGGGATCCATCACCGTGGAGGACTGGAGAACGGCTGCATGAAAAGTGATACAGCTATTTCTCGGCGAGTCACTCTGGCTGGTGGGTTTCAAACGCTTGGGAAGAGCTTTTAGCACAAATTTTAGGAGCTCACATCCAAATGGAAGCACCATACATTCCGCTGTATTTTTACGATTCGTTTTATGTATATGGATCTTGGAGCAACATTTCAATCACATTGTGTTCGCGAGGGAATCCCAAAAATCAATTCAAATCCAATCAAATCGGGCGCCATTAAAGGGTTTCGCCGCCCGCCAGGAATGACAAGACGAAAAATTCGAATCGGACTGATGAATTTCAAATGGAGATCCCGCTTGCCCGAGAACGAAGGCCGACCCGATTGCTCTCTGACGGGTGAAGAATGGAAAGTTGATGGGAGTATTGATCGAGTTTTTAATTTGCGCACGCTCGACAATCGAAAGCCGAAACGTTGGGATCCTTTGTTGTTTCTGTTATTGGAGTCGAAGTAATGATGCCGAACTTTTGTAAGAACTGCCTCGAATGGAATGACTTCTGAATGCCTTTTCTGGAACTGTTGAGATTGTCGGTTTGGGGAAGAATATGCTATTGAATAATAGGTAGGTATCGGTATCTCGGTTACGACTGGAACAATGAGATGAGAAGAGCCTTTTGAATGCGTTTTAAATGTTCTAAGAATAAGGTTGGATTAATGTTCCGAAAACGACAACGGTAACCCAGAAAACAGAATGCACGTACATATTCAAAGTAGTTTCTGGGATATACAAACAAAGGGGAAATTGATGTAATGTCGGTCTTAGGCTGTGTTCCAATTGGAGATTTTTTTTAAAACTTGACAGATTAGAATTTATTTCCCCTCCGTTGAATCATTCAAGTGTCAAACGTAAGTTTTTCGTGGTCCAATTGAACTTTTGCTTGGTCGGCTTTACCGGAAGATTGTTTTGCTTGTGTTGGATTTTTGGCAAAAGGTAATTATTGACAGATGTTTTTTTTTTTGACGTAGGACTACGTCTTTCGGGAAGATGGGGGTACAATTTATGAAAAGCGAAAAATGAAATTATGAAAGATTTTGAACGTTAATAACTTAGCTGCCCCTGGACCAATTTCAATTATTTTATCACTAATCGATCAGAAACATTTCTACGCATCGATAACAATGCTTTTGTCTGTTGATTTTCAAATTGAAACTATTGAAAAAGTGGTATATGTCAAACATTGTCCAAAAGCGTCGAAATAACTAACAAATCCATCATTTACGTACATGCATGTGCTGCTTCCCCAACACAGTCATCAGAGAATGGTTCCTAGATAAAACAAGTCGAAGTGACATTCGCCTCCGATCTTCGGGTGTGTACGAATAGGGAGGATACAATTGTGGAACATTTTGTTGCCAATTCAGAACCACACGCCCGCAACGACCACACAAAATGCTGTTTTTTCCTAGGATTTGTTTTCCGTGCTGAGCACCAATGCTACCCACACCCATGCTTGGCATACACAGTTTTGGTCACGAACTGCTCATTTGCTAATAACTTTGCTCACAGTTGACGGAACATAGTTCTTTTTGAAGCAGTAGATAGAATAGAGTGTAAGCTTGTTAAAGATATGTAAAACAAAGTAGATTTTAATGCTAGTAGTAAACTGTATTTGTTTTTGCGTTGTAAAAATGAGGTGAGAAATGCTCACTACACATCTCGGAATTTAAGGGGAAGCTTGCCGGCCCGAAAATAAAAAAATATTTTCGGTACATTTTTATTTCTTTAAAAATATTGGGAAAAAATATCAAAAATCAAAGAAAATCAGTTTGTTCCTTAGATTTTTGTCAAAAATTCTCATCATGAAAAAAAAATTGGACTCTCAGCAAAACCGAGAAGTCGACGTTTTGTGGTTTTTTGAGTCCATCTTTATGCCATAATGACTTATAAAAAATGTTTTTGCACGTGAATTTTCTTTGAAAAATTAAAAAATATGTGATTTTCTTAAAATTTTGATATCTTTTCCAATATTTTTAGAAAAATCAAAACGTAATTATTTTTTTCGGAGCGGTGAGCTTCCCCTTAAGTGTTAAATTGATTAGTGTTGATTGGCTTTAATGTTTAATCTTCGCATATCTATAGTAAACTATGAGCCTAATCTATCAATTACTTTAAAGAAAAATAAATTTCAACATTTGAGTGATAAGTTATTACCAAATGAGCAGTTGGGTGTGTTCAACTGTGCATGCCCACACCTGGTCCCTACCTATCGACCCATCAACTCATGAACCGGGAACCCCGAAGGAAGGCGTGATCAGAGATGTTATGCCTCAGAACTTCCCGGCAGCGTTGACTGGGATTGAACCCATGCCTGCTGAGACGCTTACCACTACACCACGGGTGCCGCTGCTCTCAGAGTTGTCATCTTGTAACCAAACTTGGAAGCAGGGGATAGTCCATATAAATTCTATTCTCTTTTCTGAAAAGTACTTGGTGGCCCTGAAAAGGGCCGTTTTGTTGCATTGGTGATAAGTTTTCTCCTCCGAAACCGTACAGAAAACGTCCCTGTCGCTTCAGAGCGTAGACGACATCCATGGCCGTGACGGTTTTGTGCTTGGCGTGTTCAGTATAGGTGACGGCATCGCGCATATTGTCAGCACATCTCGGGTTTCCTCGAAGATCAGACCGGAGACGCTTGACATAACCACGTCGAGCCAGACGACGAATGACAGGCTTGGCAGTACCCTTGATTTTTCACCTAGAACCTTCCGATGGCGCTTGGTGCCTCCTTTTCCGAGCACTTAACACTTGTTTCTCGTTGAACGGGTGAATCGAAACTGAGCCTAAAGCGTAGATTGCAACCTCTTATATAGACAACCAGCTCTGCCGGTACCATATATTCTCACTTCCCATTAGCTATTAAACAAAAATCAAATAATTTGTTCGGGAAATAAATTATGTTCATATGTCTTATCGGTGCATTAAATTTTTTTTCGTTTCACTTTCATCAACTGAGAAATTCTCATCGTATGCATTTTCCTGCTGCGCGACATCTTCGAAAACGTCCGGACCGTAAATAACTACAGATTACAGTGAGTACAAAAGGAGAGGATCCAGTGTCGCTAATTGATATCAAACTACTCATGATGGGAGGAGTCTGTGTACTTTACCGGCGTGTTCAAAAAGAAAGGCAATCAAAATTTCATTTTTTGATTGTTTCCCAAACACAGACATCATAATCAAAGAGCATCTTGATTATTTACTGCTGTACCATCGATGCCATCCACCATGCCTAAAGTGAATCATTAATCCAACATCGTGTCATGTTCTCGACCGTATTGCAGGGCCTCCATATTGCCCAAGGCCTAACACTCCGAGGACAACATCAATCTCGGAAGGCACTTCATCAACCATCAACTGGTTATACAAAACCACCCAAAAACAATCGGCCCTTTTCAGGGCCACCACAACTTTCTACAAAAGAGTTGAGTTATGAAATTCTCTTAATTCCAAAACAATATCCGAAGCAACAAACTAGAAAATCGAACAAAAATTTCGTAGTCCTACGTCAACAATGCGGTTGTGTCATGTACACCACCCTCCAACTTTTTTCTCTCAAGCTTAGCCGTTCTGAGTGGCCGTGTCCGGGAGTTCGTATTCGGATCAATCGATTGTTTAGCTAGTGTTTGCATACGCCATCATGTTGTTGGATGCTGAGTTACTGGTTATTGTCCTGCTAGTTAAATATTTTTACAATTAGTTTTCAATTAGTTTGCCGTTGAATTTTAGGAACCCGGTGGAGATAAATATGCTGCAAATGTCCCTTCAGCCTTGATGATGAATATTCTACAACGAGATCCCAAGACCATCAAGGAGCATCTTCGCGTATCTGTTGACGTATTCCGGAAAATCATCGTTCTGGTTGGAAAGTAGAGATTGAGTTGTCCGTGTTTTTGTTTTGGCTGGCCGCTGTCGCCGGAGCAGTATTCGATAAACCACAAACAACGGTCAAGCGGATCTGCTCAAAAATGTTGGACTTACCCAACTGAGCTCGAATTGCGTGAAATTGCGTCACGTTTTTGTAACCGAGCTAACACTTGCATTTTTTGAGGTAGCGGCTGGTGCGATTGATGGGTCACATGTACGCATAAAGTGCCCTCCTGCTCTGCATGACCAGTACATCAACCGGAAGCTCAATTACTCCATTCAACGCCGGGCGGTGTGCGATAGCAACTTCAAATTTACTGACATTTGTGTGGGATTCCCAGGATCGGTTCACGATACGAGGGTAATGTATAATAGTGCTCTGTACTATCGGCGTTTGTACCCTCCTATCTGCTCGGAGATAGCGGTTATCCGTGTAGTATATATCCGATAGCTTTCGTAACTCCCTTCAAGGAGACTGAGTGTCGACGTCTAACACCGATGGAGTAGAAATTCAATAATTTTCACAGCAAGGCCAGGACTGTTCGGATTGTGCTTTCGGGCAGTTGAAAACGAGATGGAGGAGCATCTTTAATAAAGATTTGAAGCTTCGAATTGCATACTCCACAACATATGTGTCGACGAAAACGATGTAATGGAAGCTGAACCTATTATTGAAGAGACGGAGCAAGCTGCTGACAATATAACAGAACGGAACGAGTGTGGTGAACCACCAGGAAGAGACACTGGAGAGGGAATCGCCTTCCGTCAGACTCTTTTACAACAGATGCTGAACCAAATTAACTGAATGCATTGCATACATTACCGACCCAAAATAACTTCAGGATTACATTAAAGTAACCATAAAATACATTGCATTACCCTAATAAACAAATACCATAAACAAACTGTATTCCGAACACGTCGTTAAGCTCTCTTTTATGATTATTTTTATTATGGTATTTTCTTGACCAAATTTAATATAAATCTGGTATTCAGAGTCATAAGGGCTTAGCTACAATTATCGATTATTTTCATTGGATTTCTTCTTTATTAATAACTAAGCTGGATTCTGGTGTTTCCTTTTGATTTTTCTAGCTGGTTGTTTTGTTTTTTACAGCAATGTCTTGAAATATATATATATTTGGTTCTGTTGTAAAGGCCTACCAACAATGATCGATTCTCTTCATCAAATTTATCTTTTGTTAACAACTCGGCTGAATTACCATTCCTCGGTGCGTTTGCTGTTGCTCTTGCTAACTAATATAACTTTTTACAGCTAGTATTACATTTATACAATTTTGGAAAATTATTTAACTTCACTGCTGTAAATCAAAATGAATCGATCATTGCAATTAAGCCCTTATTGCACTCTGAAAGCTACATATTGTTGCTGCCATGCTAACGAAACCAAATGTATCCTCGTTTTAAGAAAATTTACATTATTTTTGATGCTCTATCTTCCAGATCTTTTGTAATATAACGAGTTGTTTTTATCTCTAAAACTTCTTATACTATTGGTTAGGTTAAAATGCATTTATTAACATTTTAGATATAACAAACAATTAACGTTTAAAAATCCATTTCAGATTCTGAAGAACTTGCAATTTTTGAACAATTTTCTCTGCAAAAGATTCAGGGGGGCTCGAAGGTCCTGCTTCCGGGCAGGATATTATTGGCCCTGACTCAGCGCTTGAAAAATAATCATCGGAACCTGACCATGATGGCCCAGCTTCATACATTTCGTCATGATGGGTACCTCCAGCTTCATTGGGTATATTGTGAGAATTTTGCACCACAATCCCGCAACTGTTTACCACTAACGGCGGGTTAATGATATGTTGGGTTGCCATAAAGTCATGAAGTTGGTTGAAGTGTTCCCAATCGTCTGGGGTTTGTTCCCCGTTCTCCTTTAGCTCCCCCAGTAGGAGATGTAACGAGTACCTGAAAAAGGAAATTGTCAACATTCTAATTATTAGTTGGCCCACTTGGTTTTAATCTGCTGGACGGTGAATTCTCCAAGTCTTGCTTTTTCTTTTATTGTGCTGTAAGAAAATAAAAAAAATAATGAGGGTCCAAGCTTTGGCCATAAACGAGGAAAGTAATACACATAACTGATCATTTAAAAGTGAAATAAATGGCAATTCTCAAAATCAAATTTCTTTAAAGATTCAAAGAAGAACCTCATAACGGTTTTAAAAGGAATGCTTTGAAAACAAATATTTATTAGGAATCTCTTTCGCAATCCTTCAGGTGTTACTCGTAGGAGGATTTTTTAGGTATTCATTTTTAAGCATTCCAGAATAGATTCATGAAAGCATATTTTTTCGGAGTTACCTTTGAAATATTAAAAAGAAACTCTTGAATGATTGCTTCAGAATATCCAAAAGAATTCCGGAATGGATTCTGAAATATTGGAGAAGCAATCCCTGAAAAAATACCAGAAAAATCCTCTGAGACATTTAAGAATGCTTAACAACCTGTAAATTTCCCAAATACCTTGAATTTTATTGTTGTGAACCATGAATTTCGTTGTAATTTTATGGTACAGCCACAGAACAGTGGAAACCTTAACCTACCAACTAATATGAACTGCGGAGTCGACTCAGAGTAGGAGCGTCGGAGGCTTTTCCGTAGTATCTGGTGTCAAAATCTGATAAATTTATTTTATTCCACCACTGGCAGTGACTAAAAGGCCAGATCGTACAAAAATGCCTTCGACTCCACAGCCCTTAAATTAACACAAGCGCAAAAGTGAATAAGATTACTCCTGGCTACCATCCGGCAGTTTTGTCTTTCCTTTTTTTGAGTTAATTATTTTGAATTTGAAAGAAAAACTTCTTCAGTGTCTTGTGCTGATACTCGCATGGACTCGAATATTAGTACAAGACACAGAAGAAATCTGCTCATTGTAGACGAAATACGCGTATCTGTCAAGGATAAGCAAATAAGGTAGTGGAATGAAATGTAAATTACTAATCGTTCTCTCTCTCTTTATATATCGTTTTGCTATAGAAAGGCTGTATATTAGACTTAAACTGTAGCAATTTAAGATACTATCTGTACATTGTTATACGACTTCTTGTCTGAGAAGTAGTACAGAGCAAAAAGTTGTGATACTGCATTGACAAGTATATAAAACAAAGACCAAACATAAAGGAATGATCTCCGATTTATTGATCCACTACACATTTTTATGTCTTATTAATTATTATCAATCTTGATATTTTTACATTAATTTAAGATATTTCAATGATGATCATTGAAAAGTAGGGAAACACTTCTTTACTACAAACCGATTTATTAATACTAAACACTATGAAGCGCAATGTCAATTTCCTGTATAATCTAAACTTTGAGATGGTCAAGATATCTATGAAGTTCCTGTCTTTAAGAAAGGAGTTCAGCCGATTAAACCCTTCAAAATTGTGGGTAGATGAGTTAATCAAATGTTTAGTTGTAGTAAATAATCAAAATCTTCGTTTATGATTAAATAATTGTTGCTTACCTGCATGGAGCAGTATTTCGGGTACATCAATTAAACAAACTTATATTGTTAATAAAATATGTTTGTTATATGCCTAAATTTCAACTGACACAAACAGTGCCCCCCTTGAGGAAGCTGGAGAGTAAAATTGATTAAAGATAGCTGCAAAATGTCACTTGTGGCATCTGTATAGATGTTTCGCCTCATCTGCTCTGTTACACACCACGACGACGACAAC